TGTGGAGAAATAGGAACCCTTCTCCACTGCTGGTGGGAATGCCAACTTGGTGAAACCACTGTGGAAATCAGTTTGGAGAGTCCTCAGAAAACTAGGTCTAGAGGTCCCATTCAACCCATCTAGTCCCCTTCTGGGTATTTTCTCAAAGATCTAAAATCATCATATCACAGTGATATATGTGCACCTATGTTCATAGCAGCACAATTTGTAATTGCTAAAATGTGGAAGTAACGCAAATGTCCATCCACCGAGGATTGGATAAGAAAACTGTGGTACTTTTTATAGAATGGAATATTACTCAGGTATAAAGAATGATAAACTCGAGGGTTTTTTAGGTAAATTGTCACAACTAGACACTAATCACACCTGCATGTGAAAGCAGTGTATTGTCTCATTAGTGTAAATCCTGAGTTAATTTAAACTCGGAGGTATGATAGACATTGTGAAATGATAGGAAAACACTCATGGGTAAAGGACAACTGGGATGTGGGAAAAGAAAAGGGAAAGAAGGAGAAATTTTATATGTATGTATATACAGGATAGTTAACATAGTTGATCTACTGTCTTCTATTTCTTTGCTGAAAGAAACTGTTTGTGAGTCCTTGATTGATCAATATTTCTTGTCTGTATTTGTTTCCATGAGAAACCACTTTGAAGATATCAATATGTAATACAAAAAGCCCTGTTAATTTCCTACCACTTTGTTTGTAACTCTGTATTGTCTGTACTGTTCTTGTGCTAGTTTGTAAAATGTTGTCTGTCTGTTAATATTTTCTTCCTTTTATTTAAAAAAAAACAGTTTTCACTCAACTTATAAAAGACTATGAAAAGTACAAGAAGTTATCAACATATATCTGATTTTTCTGAGACTCTGCACCCTCTGTGCAGGGAGAATTGCCACCCTATATTAGGAAAACTCCTCAGGTGGGAAACCCACCTGCTGTTTTGTTTGCAACCCTTGCCCAGGGAATGAGATTTCCAACCACACGTGTAAGAACATGCCTATACACACATTCCCACCCCCTGTTATATTGTCTGAGCCATCCCAGAGGTAGAAAATATAGAAGAGAAAAGCAAAGAGAGCATGCTTTCTTATTCCAGGTACAAATTTAGTAATTGTATTCAGTATTATATTTATTGAAATAAATACTACCTCATTTAAAATACATTATTACATATTTTCTAGAAGTATTTAAAGTATTTAAAGGTTATTAGGTTATTATTAGTGAGTTGGATCAGGGAGCAGAGGGAGATGATGGAGTTAGGAGCCCCTGATACCAGCAATTACTTCTTAGGTAACATTATTAACATTATTAGGTTATTATTTCTCAAAGAAATTACCCACACCTTGATTTTCTTATTTCAGTATCCACCGTGGATATTAGCAGTGTTTTATTAAGTAGCAACGCGTGCTAATTTTTTAAACTATAGTTGATCACATTAAAGTCATGGATACCACACATCCTTACTCTATCAGTTTCCTGTAGTGTTCCCGACATAGGTAAAGCACCGGTGTGAGTTTCGGATGAAGGAATAGTTGTGATTTTCGTGTACACCACGCTTTCAGTTCAGCAAATCTCAATCAGTAGATTTCTTGTTCCATGGAAAATAAAGTGTAATAATAGGAATGGAAGTCAGTGACATAGAGCTACAGCACTAGATGTACATCTTTGGTAGGATATTATTCACTTGTCTGCAAAAGCAATAACATCAGTCCTGTATTATTTGGATGGGGGCTGAATAATAGCCAACATGACACGTTGCTGCTGAACAATATTGAAACATTCAATGCTAACAAGATTCAATGATATTAAAACACAAAATGTAGAGATGAGACAGACATTGATGGCTTAAGAAATAACTTTTCTTAACCCAGAAAATATAGAAAAGATTTTAAAAATCTTAGTTTAAAATTACTATTTATCAAATATAAGTCCGAGTTTTAAAATATTATGAACCAAATATTTCGTGTTGTTGAAGATTATATAATTTAAAGAAAATGTGCTCATGTTCTGACTTAGAAATTTTCATTACAAAATATAAAATGAGCAAACTAAAGACCAGAAAATAAAGCAAGGGAAGATTAAAGTTTGTTCTGCTAAAAAAACTTTAGATAATCCTAAAAAAGATTCATCAAGTAGAAAGAGAAACTTCACAAATCCATAAAACACATAACATAAAAATGAAGTAAATTTTACAGATAAAAATTCTACACACATATAATATAAATAATATGACATTAGTCTCTTTGAAAATGCAATAAAACTCACAATTTTAAAGAAAAAGCAATTGACATAACTTTCCAAAGATAACAGTAAGATCTCCCCAGAGTATCATGTCTATTATCAAAGGTTTTATTGTGGTTTTCTGACAGGCTTTCGGTATGCATTTGAACTCACTTTGTAGCCTAAACTTGCAGTGATCCTCCTGTTTCAGCCTCCAGAGTGCTGGGATTACAAGCATGCACCAACATGCCTGCCATATTATCAAAGTTGAGCTCCTCATTATTTTTCCACAATTATTGAGATGATATCTATTTTTTTGTTGAACTGTATAAGCATTCAATAACATATAATATCAGCTTACTCAAGAAAACTGGAAAAATGAAACTTTGGAAAATTCAGTTTACTTCATGAAACAAGCTACACTTTGCAAACCATATCTTACAATGCAGTTTTGGAAACAAAACTTTGTGGGTCTCTTTCCCATCTTTGTATGGCTATCTGTATTTGCAACGTCTGGGCTACCTCAGTGTCCTGAATCAATTAAAGATATTTATCCTTCCCAGTTATTTTACTCTGGTGAAGAGCCGGAGTGAAATGCTGCCGTATTCAGTGAGTAAGATTGCTGAGGACACAGAGTAATTTTTGAGTCTGCATTTCCATCGCATGGCACTGAGCAGTAATAGTCACTGAAATTGGATCACACCTTTTAAAGACACTCACGAAGGAGGACTTCCGGAGCTGCTCGGAAGGTGGCAATTATGATGGCGTGAGACTGTTTGAAGAAAGATCAAGTTTTTTAGGTGATCACTGACAGTGTGTCTCACATGCTAATGAATTCCTTTAATGTGAACATTCCCTGTGTATTTCAGTCACACTTCACATACATAATGAGCTACTGCAGTGAACCTGAGAGCAAAATGAGGGGAGGGTGGGACTGAGAGACGGCAGTTTCCTGCGTCGACCAAAATGGGTCATGCGCAGTGATTGAGGGAATCATCTAGAAGATAACACTCCAGGACAAAGATGTTTTGTCTGTGCCATGGAAATGGAACACGTTTAGAAATTTTAAAATCCGAAGGACACATATCTAAGTTTATAATCGAGCCATGTCACATTATATTCATGAATTTTACTCTATTATTAAAAATTTGAAAAATGTAGGCGTCTTCATTTGAAGTTAGGCAACTAATGTCTAAGTAGAACTTCAAATTAAGGTTTACATATTCCAAATGTAAAAACATGGCATCTTCTTAGGTAACACAATCATGCTTCCTTCTCTTCCTTTCAGATACCTTAGAGTTAAAGAATTGGGTGAATCTTACTTCATGACATGACACATTATCATCATTTATCATACTATATATTTAATTATTAACCCCATTAGAACTGGAGCTTCTAAGTGTCTCACATACACTAGTGTGGAGTGAGGGATATTGCGCCTCACAGGGATTATCAACAAAGGGCAGGAGTAAGCATTACTTTACTAGTACATCAGATAGAGCCAAGGAAATTCCTGCACACTCCATCACTTTACACTTTATGATTTTGTTCTCATCCAGGATCGCAAGACTCGGCACTGACACCATGACCTGGTCAATGCTGTGGCTTTACTGGAAACATGATTCTGAGCAAGGCTTGCCCTGTGGGACTAGCTATTCCCCCAGCACACTCCACCTAACCCTTAGTGGATTCTATATGAGCCTGGATGAGAATTCCTGTACAGATTGGTACGGAAATGGGTACACTTGAGATATGAGCAATTAACACTGTGTGAATGCTTTGTCACAGAGAATTAAAATGACTAAAGCGAGTTGACCTCAGAGACACCCTGGTGTGTGATGAGTGTGCAAGGCTCTAAGCTCCTAGAATGAGTGAGGGGAAAAGTGTTTGACTGTCCCAGCAAGGATAAGTAAATGTGAGCAAAGAATCAAACTTTCCTTGTTGCACTGGAGAACAATGTCTACGGAAAAATGTCATAAAATGCATAAG